CAAAACCAATCTATAATGACTGGGAAAGATGACTGCTTTCTTCAAATGTGAAAACACCAATGTGAAGATCAAGGAAACAAATACCACCAAAGAAACAAAATAAAGCTCCAGTAACTGACCTTCCGCCAAAAATGGAGATCTATGACTTGCCTGACAAAGAATCTAAAATAATCATCTTACAGGAGCTCAGTGAGCACAAGAGTACACAGATAGACAACTAAATGAAACCTGGAAAACAATACATGAACAAAATGAGAAGTTCAACGAAGAGATAGAACTTCATAAAAAAAGAACTGAACACATTCTAGAGCTGAAGGATACCAGCGACTGAACTGGAATTTTCAATAAAGAACTTTAATATCAGACTCAATCAAGCAGAAGAAAGAATCAGCAAACTCAAAAACATGGCATTTGAAATTATCCAGTTGGAGAAACATAAAAACAAAAAAAGAATGGAAAAGAATGAAGAAATCTTATAGGACTCATGGCATATCTTTAAGAGAACCAATATACACAATGTTGGAAGTCTCAGAAGCAAAATAAAAAGAAAGAGGCAGGAAGCTTATTTAAAAAATAATGGCTGAAAACTCCCCATTCATCAAGAGATGAATGAATAAAGAATGTGATACAATGGAGTATTGTTTAACTTAAAAAAAAAAAGAAAGAAAGAAAGAAACCCTGCCATTTGCAACACCATGGATAAGTTTTGAGGGCGCTATCCTAAGTACAACAAATAGAGGACAATTACTCCATGATATTGTCAACATAAGGAATCTAAAATAGTCACTCACAGAAACAGAGAGTAGAATGAATGGTGGCTGTCAGGGGCTGGAGGGAGGGGGAAACAGGGAGTTATGAGTCAAAGGGTACAAAGTTTTACTTATAAAAGATAAATAAGTCCTAGAGATCTACACTACAATTTAGAGCCTATTGTTAACAATATTGTGTTACGGGGGGAGGTTGGGGGTTAATGGGGGGGATGAGGACACATTTGTAATACCTTAACTAATAAAAAAAAAAAAAAAAAACAATATTGTGTTACATACTTAACATGTTGCTAAGAAGGTAGATCTTATATTAAGGGTTCTTATCGCATACACAAACAATAATAAAGAGGATGGGAGGCCCCGCCAGCATGCTCAGTGGATTGAGCATTGTCCCATGCACCATGAGGTTGCTGGTTCGATTCTTGGTCAGGGCACATGCCCAGGTTATGAGCTTGATCCCAGTGGGGGGTGTGCAGGAAGCAGCCAATCAATGTTTCTCTATCATCGATGTTTCTATCTTCTATTCCTCTTCCTTCCTCTCTCTCTTAAAAAATCAATAAAAACATTTTTAAAAAAAGAGGATGGGAGAATTTTTAGAGGTGGTGGGTATGCTTGTGGCATAGTTAGTGGTGATAATTTCATGGGTGTATACTTATTCCTAAATGCATCAAGCAGTATACATTAAATATATATAGCTTCTTGTATGTCGATCATACCTCAATAAAATGTTTTGGGTTTTATTTTATTTTATTTTATTTTTTTAAAATATATTTTATTGATTTTTTACAGAGAGGAAGGGAGAGGGATAGAGGGTTAGAAACATCAATAAGAGACATCGATAAGAGAGAAACATTGATCAGCTGCCTCCTGCACACCTCCTACTGGGGATGTGCCTGCAACCAAGGTACATGTCCTTGGCCGGAATTGAACCTGGGCCCTTTCAGTCCGCAGACCGACACTCTATCCACTGAGCCAAACTGGTTAGAGCTGGGGTTTTTTTCAAATAGGAAAGATCAAATAGTTATCAGATTTCGTGGTTTGGTGTATTGGGACTTCTTAGAAAGATATGGAGGTATTTATTGTCTCTCTTTCACTGATCATAAAGACCCAACTCTCCGGACTAGTAGGTGATACTACTTCCCACTATGGTGTTCTTTCCCGCAACTCTGTGCCAGCTCTCCAGGCCAAGTAGTGGCTAGTGTTTGGACTTTCTGTGAAGGGGGAGTGGAAGGATGCCAGATGTTTGAGGTATTGCAGAAGTTGGCAGCAAGTTTTCAGTTTCACTCTTTGTCCACTTTCCCAGCTCCCTATCCCCGACAGCTAAATGCTACAATCGCCTTGGCTCCAGTGGGAATCTTTGAGCTTTTTGCCATTCTGAAGGATATAAAAGGTGATCTGTTTTCTAGACTAGTTTTTGGTAGATGAATATGTCATGGAACAGGGGTCATATGAGGTAACAATAGACATAGCAGTGAACCTTAAAATGATGCTGGGGTGAATCATGTATGGAATGCTTGGCCCATGCTTCTGTGGGGGGATATATAAACAGGAGCATGAGAAGTAGGTGTTGTAATGTACCCCGCGAATCACACAAGGACGCCTCAAGAAGTCGAATTAAAGAGTCACATTTATTGCAAATCCGGGACTATGAGGGGGCATTTTGCTCTCCCAGATTTCATAGTGCCCGCCCCAACCCCAACACCAGATTTATATAGGCAAAGATCACAAAGGTATTGATTACATCCCAAGGCTTGGAATGAGGAACCTGGTTTGCAAAAAAGCTGTTTACAGAAGCAGAAGCAGAAGCAGAAGCAGAAGCAGAAGCAGAAGCAGCATGTTATCTAAATTATTGTTTTGGGTCTCTGGATCACTGAATTGACAGAAACACATTATCTAGAGCCCTCGGGTATGGAATGAGGAACCTGGTTTGCAAAAAAACAGTTTACTTAAGCATGTTATCTAAATTATAGTTTTTGGGTCTCTGGAACACTGAGTCAACAGGGACATGTTAACTGGAGCCCTCTAACCTTGGGATAATTGTGCTGTCCTTCCCAGGGAAAGGAAAATGTGCTTCTAAGACCAGTATGACCACAGCCAATGGGATGATTTATATAATTCAGAAGATCAAAATAACTTTTCTATTATTTTAGCAAGCAAATCAGTACAGAAGCCAAACAGCAGGGTTAAAGTTAAACTATAGTTTCTACCTGAGATGATTGCTACCATGCCTCATAGGGTGTTCTAAAAATAGTTCATCAAATAGTAACTGACTTGCCTAAAGGACAGCTGTCCTTCCACCTACTTTACACAGCAATTGTTATGTTTGTTCACGGACGTGAACTTGGCCTTCTAGGAGACAGCTGTTATAATTTCTAGACTTGAAGACTAGAGACCTGGTCAAGTTCCAAGTCTCTTATTTTAGTTGGAAGCTGGACACACTGTGAATTAAGATCTGGGAGAATGTCCACTATTCAGTGGCCTAATTTGCTGCTGTGTGATTGGCTAGTAGCCTCCCGAAAGAGATCCTTGCTTCATAGCCAGCGAAGGTGGGCAAAACACTGCAGTGTACAAAATGTGGCTATGACTCTAGAACAGCGGTTCTCAACCTGTGGGTCGCGACCCCTTTGGCAGTCGAATGACCCTTCCACAGGGGTTGCCTAAGACCATCCTGCATATCAGATATTTACATTACGATGCATAACAGTAGCAACATTACAGTTATGAAGTAGCAACGAAAATAATTTTATGGTTGGGTCACAACATGAGGAACTATACTTAAAGGGCCAGAAGGTTGAGAACCACTGCTCTAGAGCATTTGCTAAACAGCTACGTTAAAAAAAACAACCCACAAAACCAAACCAATGTAAGTCATGCTTGCAGTGCATACTCCCATGCAGCTCATACCTATCTAGCAGCTCATTATGCATTTCCAATTTCCTGGGCCAGCATAATCTGTTGACATATCAAATAAAAATATGTACCAAATGAAATTTGTGTTTTTCCTCCTTCTTGTTTCCAGTTCTCTGAATGTAACCATAATCCTTCTCACCCATCCCCCATATCCATATCCTTGACAAGTTGAGTTGACATCCTGCTTATTCTGTTTCTACTGATTTTTTCCCCCCACTCGGGTCCTATTGTCCTCAGTCTCCACTCCCTTCCCTTTTGCTTGGGCCTGTGAATACCCTCCATTTTCCCTGTCTCTTCTTAACAATCTATTCCTAATTTTGTTGCTTAATTGCACCTCCCACTCCTAAAACCCAGTTTAGCATAATGGTTGAGTTTGAATTCTGGCTCTGATTTGTACTGTTAACCTTTAGTGATCAAGGACTTAAGACTCTGGAGCCAAGCCTCTTGATTTATGGTCTGCCTTTTAAGGACTCCTTTTCCTACCTCGTTCTCTTTGTGGTCTAGCCAAATACCTCCCACCATCTCTACCCCAGCTTTTAAAGGTCAGTCCACCTAACCACTTCCCTGAAATAATCTTCCTCTCCTAGGAACTGCCTTCGCATGGCTCCTATACTTCTCACTACCTGCTTTGTACAAATTAAATAATTTAAAAAAAGAATTTCTCTTGGGAGAATACAAGTTTCTTGAGGGCAGGATATTAATTATATTCTTTTTTATGTCTCCAGTAAGTCATGGTGTGATTTACTGAAGATATAAAACTGTAGTTCATTAAGAAATATAGGCGAATGACATCAATTTACAAAAATAAATCCAACTCCGAGGGTCTTCCCTTTAGACTGCACGTGTCCAACATCATCTGAAGCAATAGATGAAAATGGGTGAATATAGTGTATGTAAATTAAACCTTTTAAAAAGCTGACTTAAAAATATTTCTTGAGGTTCCCACAAAGTTTTTGTGTATGTGGATTACATATCAATATTTAGCATATTAGAAATTATAACAGGAAAATGTTAAATAGTTCTTTATTCATTTAAAAAATAATAAATGCACTAAATATTAACATTAACAATGTTAAAATAAATTCACTATTTATGTCTTATTCATCTGCCCGTTCTCCTTGGCCTGGCACAGCTCCCAGCACGGAGGAGATGATGGACCCTTATTAGGAGAATTAATAGCTCAGGCCCCGCGGAAACAGCGGGAACCCCCTCACCCCGCCCACCCGCCGACCGCCCGCGAATGCGGTGGCTCTCGCCCCTCGGCCCCGCCCCTCCAGGCCCTCGGCCCCGCCCCTCCGCGCCCGGACGCGGGTGCCAGGGCGCAGGCGCAGGCGCAGGGGGCCCGGAGGCCGCGCCGAAGAGTGCGCCTGAGGCTGCCCCGCCCCCAGCTCTCACCGCGTGAGCCGGGAACCCGTCACCCCGGCTGCTTGGGTCGCCGTGGTCGGTCGTCGTCATGGCCTCTTCGTGGGATGAGCTGACCATTTCCTTTTCTCGCATGTCTATGTTCCCCTTTTTTGACATCGCCCACTACCTGGTATCCGTGATGGCGCTGAAGCGTCAGCCGGGTGAGTGTGGGGCGCCGCGGCCCCCTCAGGTGAGGACGGCCGAGCCGTCTCCGAGCCAGAGTCCTCTGGTCGAGCTGGAGTGGGGCCAGGGCCGGCTCCACCGGCCCCTCCGGTACAGGCGGGGAAACTGAGGCCGGAGGAGCGAGCTGGGGTCCGCAACCCGGGAAGGGCTCCCGGAACGGGTGCCTGGGATGGGGGCGCTGCGGCTCCCAGGGTTCGCGCGGTCTCCTGCTGGTGCCACCGCTTCTTGCAAAGTGTTTAAAAAGTCACCCGAGGGCCCAGCTCCGCAGAGCGCGTCTGACTGAGTGGCTTGGAGGAGGGACCGTTTCGGATCGCTTTCCTTTTAGGAAGGTGTATAAACACTTACCCCAAAAGCTCCAGTCGGCACACCAGGCAGGCATGCCTCGCTTTATTGCGCTTTGCTTGATGGGGCGTGTTTTGTTTTGTTTCGTTTTACAGATCGAAGGCAGGACACCCCCTCCCCCCCCCCCCCAGCAAAAGCATTGCCACCAGCTTTATTGCTTTACTTGCCTTATTGTGCTGGAGGTCTGGAACTTGGGCTTGAGGATGATGCTGTACCTCTTATAGACGACTGGTTTTTTCAAACTCTTGTACCTCACAAATATTTCTCATTTACACTGAAGTTTATAGCCCAGTCTAAATCATTGTCCGGTAGGAGTTTTGACCTGGAAAAGGGGAATCTTATTTGTATTAAGGAAGGACAGATAATCTGCATAAGATACTGCTTCCTTTATTTGAAAAGAAGTACAATTTTCTCATGCCATGTTCAGTAGTTGGTATTTTCTTGTGTGGGCTAAATCAGAGGTTCTCAAAGTGTGGTCCAGGAACCCCAGGGGTTCCTCGCACTTGCAGGTCAAAGTTATTTTCCTAATATGCAGATGTCCTTTTCACACTCATTTTCTCACACGTGTACCGTGGAGTTGTCCAGAGGCTGCATAACCAGTGATACTGTAACATTGAATGCAGATACAAGACTCCAGCTGTTATCTATTTGAAGGTAGATCTTAGAGATTAGTAACATATAAAAATGGGGCTTTTCTCTCTAAATGGTTTTTACTTTGGAAAATAGCTATTTTTCATGAAAAATACATTATTTATGTTAACATTTAGTGCATTTATTATTTTTAAAATGAATACATAAAGACCTATTTTAAATTATCCTATATAATAGAGAGCAAATATGCAAATGGTGGTCATGCCCTTGTGCCCTCACGCAGGGGCCAGGGGACCTGAGGCCGCACCCCCTGCCCCAGTGCCGGGGCCGGGGAACCTGAGGCCGTGCCCCCCATCCCGGTGCGGGGGCTGGGGGACCTGAGGTTGGGCCTCCCTGCCTTGTGGGGCTTGACGGGGGTGGGGCTGGCCGGGTCTGGGTCTTGTGTGATTTCAAGGTGCACGTGGGTGGGTGGGGACTTGACTCTGGGTCCCGTGACGTGCCCCAAACTCTGACAGGAGGGAGATTTTCATATACATTTTACTAATTTTTCATCTCTGACACTTCTATTATAGAGGATAGGCAAATAGCAATATTAAAATATTTCCTCTAATTAATTCCCTTTTAATGTGCACGAATTTCATGCACCGGGCCACTAGTTTTATTATAATTTCTAATATTCTAAATGTTGATACATGAACCCACATAAGCAAAAGATCTTTGAGGTTTTAAATAATTTTTTTTCTTTTTAAGGGTAAAAATTTTATTTTTAAGGAATTTCATGCTGCACATTTTCAGTGACTCACATAAGAAAGCAAAAATGTGCCTGGCTGGCTGGCGTTGCTCAGTGGTTGAGCATCGACCTATGAACCAGGTCATAGTTCAGATTCCCAGTCAGGGCACATGCCCAGGTTGCTGGCTCCATCCCCAGTAGGGGGCGTGCAGGAGGCAGCAGATCAATGATTCTCTCTCACTGATGTTTCTGTCTCTCCCTCTTCTTTCCTCTTTAAAATCAATAAAAATATCTTAAAAAAAAGAAAGCAAAAATGTTATCCTCCCCTCATCCTAGAAATAAATAGGAAGGGCAAAAAATTTCTTTTAAAATCACATTGGAAGTTTAGCACCAGCATCCAAAATGAACAGAAAAGGGGGGGGGGGGAAGCATTTACTATATATTTCAGATTTCTTTGGTTGGGGTTCTCTCCATATGGTATTAATATTTCCTCTTTCAGATCGTATTACTGAAACAGTAAAAACCATGAAAAAAATATAAACCTAGTGATTGCTGAAACTGGGGGTGCTGCTTTCTTGTCTTCTGTGCAGGCATTCCCTGAAAAATAGCTGGAAACATTGGCTGACATTCTCCCTTTTGTGTTGGTTTCGTGAACAGTAATCATAAACATTCTAAAGTCCACATCTTGGATTTTAGTCTTCCTCTTTATTGCTTGTGTATTTCTTTTTTTTTAAAAAAAAAATATATCTTACTGATTTTTTTACAGAGAGGAAGGGAGAGGGATAGAACATCGATTAGAGAAACATCGATCAGCTGCCTCCTGCACACTCCCCACTGGGGATGTGCCTGCAACCAAGGTACATGCCCTTGACCGGAATCGAACCTGGGACCCCTGAGTCCGCCTGCTGACGCTCTATCCACTGAGCCAAACTGGTTAGGGCGCTTGTGTATTTCTTTGGTGTTGGTAAGGTCATGGTCTGCTTTTTGTTTTACTGTTTGAATGGTCATTATTTGTTTAGGTCACTTGCTGATGGTGAAGGTGTCTAGGGAGCCTGGTGTTAAGAAGCACTGCTCTGCTAGGTGGCTGGAGCAGGGCTCTCAGAGGGCACTTCACCTGCCTTGGTCTCTTTGCCATCTGGTGAAGGAGCGTTAGCAGGATCGGGGCAATGCCGATACTTTTATGGGCACCAGTATCCGCGGAGAAAAGATGGCTGCTTTGTACCATTAGCCACTTGTTGATTCTCTTTATCTTCAGCCTCTTCAGTGGGACAGCTGGGGTAGGTCATGGGTGAGGAGGTCCCTTACGTTACCTTGGACAGTAAGTTGGATTTTGATGAACAGGTCCCTGAAGTTGCACTCTCCCTGGGACTCCATCTTTCATCTCTCCACTAGCATCACATCCAAGGAGATATGGTGGTTTCCCCCTTTTCTTTTTCCATGTGACTTGTGCTTCTTAAGCAGATATCATGGTGTTTAATAAATTTGTGTTTTTGTTTCTTTTTGATTTGCATTCTGTTGGGATGGGGAAAGACCCATGAGCGATGGCCAGAGGTCTGTCCCACGTGGTCAGGCAGGAACCACCACCGGTACTGAGGGCCGAGGGCTGTACTGGGGGCCGTGCAGCTGACTTGGGGCCCTAGAGAACTGCCAGTCAGTGGCAGGGGTGGTCAACCCTTTCACTGCTGCCACAAGAATTTTTTCTAAGTCAGGCTTTTTCAAGGTTTATCTTACATTATAGTCACCCTTTTATTTTTTTTATTTTTATTTTTTAAAAAATATATATATTTTATTGATTTTTTACAGAGAAGAAGGGAGAGGGATAGAGAGTTAGAAACATTGATGAGAGAGAAACATCAATCAACTGCCTCCTGCACACTCCCCACTGGGGATGTGCCCGCAACCAAGGTACATGCCCTTGACCGGAATTGAACCTAGGACCCTTGAGTCCGCAGGCCGACGCTCTATCCACTTAGGGCTATAGTCACCCTTTTAAATGTAAAGTTCTACGATTTTGGAAAGGCAGCAGCATAGTTTTGCAATCTTTATGAATCCCCATGTAAAAACGTACAGAAAAGTGTAAAAATCATACATGTACAGCTTAGTGAATTTTCATAGTGACTATCTATGTAATCAACATCTGTAAAAATAGAACATTCATAATGCCCCCCAAGTCCCCTTTGTTATATGATGTTGTAAAGGGATTCTGCCCAGTGTGGGGTGGGAAAGGATGTCTCACAATTTCCTTCTGGTGTTTAGAGAATCTTAGATTGTCTTTTATGTTTTAATTGAAAGGAAAGTTAGAATATTTGAGCGACCTGACATAAGATATTGGTCAGGGAGTGTACTGTGGCAGAAAGAGCTCTTAAGGTCAGGAGACCAGTGTTTAGTTCAAACACTGACTGGGTAGCTTGGGATATTTACTAGTACTAGTATTTGTGCAGTGAGTGAGCTGCGCTAGAACACCAGCTGGGCAGTAGCCCCTTCTGAGGAGCCTCAGTTTTGACTCTAAGGTTCTAACTGCTGTTGGAGGGCAGGAGAGTTGACATAGACCTGAAGCAAGACTGTGGTAGTGTACTCTTCATCTTGCCAGGTAAAAGCAAAGTGTTTCTGGGATTCTTTGCACGTTGATATGGAGAAAAAGACATTTGCTTACTAGGTTACAGGGGTTATTTTGTTTTGTTCCAGTAACAATGTGGCCTCTGGAATACCGGCTGCAATTGGAGTCACTGCCTGTCTACATTTATGATTATGGTAATCACAGTCCTTCTCCAAACTCATCCGTCTTCTCTATAGACCAAACAGGCAAGTTGAATGGCACATGATAGCTATCACCATCTTTTCATTTTTCATGTTTTTGGTTATGGCACCCATCTTTGTGGTATTGCTTTTTAAAAATATCTCGAAGGATTTCTACATGACCATTCCTACCATAATGATCTTTGGATCTGAGGATCAATTTAGGTATTGTGCCAGTTGCCAAATATATCTATTCTTGTTATATATTAAGGAACTAGAGAAATAACCACAGGTGAGTGGGTGGTGGTTTTATTTGGACCACTATGATTCAAACCTGATCCAAAACTCCTGGAATCTACTGTGTTATAGACAATCTATAAGCATCTGTTGTGTACATGACTATTTTTAGTAATTTTGATGAAAAGCATACTTGAGGCATATGAGGTAGATTATGTTGTTAATTTTTCTCCTTTTAAGGAGATAAATCTGTAGGCAAAAACTAGGGCAAAAGTTCACTAATATACAGTTTGAAAATACTTAACACCTGGAGCTGAGACTTTAAGAAAGCTAGAACTGCTT